TCAGTATACTACACAAGCATGCACCATGAACACAACATCAAGATACAAATAAGGTAAGGAAGTCAACTAACTAATCACAAATATTATCACAATGATAACAATAACAATATATAGGAACACTCATATTTCAGACCATCACATAAAAAGTGAAAATACGCATACGAGTATGTGCTACGTGAGCATACACATACCCTAAGAGAACCTGGTACTACTGTGTTCATCAAGGAAATGATCGTTACACAGGACCCAGGGCTACACATCTAAATAAAATAAAATACAAACAATGAACTGTAATAACATCAAGTGAATAACTGACCAATACTGGTCTAATTTTAACTAGTTCAAGCTGTCTTATTTATTTTAATTTAATTGAAACCAAAGTAGTTATATAAATACAGTTCTAAGGCTGATTCAAAATTGAAATACACTTCTATTGTGAATAACGGATACCCTTTGGAAAATTAAGACAAAAGTTTATATATTTTTACAGTATTTATTTAAGTAACTAAAGCCCTTCATTGTAAACGATACAACCTTCCTGTAATTGTAAACATTGGCCAATGGAGGGGGAATAGCAGAGAAAGTTGTTGTTGTTGTTGTTGATGATGATGATGGCCAGAAATCGTGGCTGAAACATGTCATAATGNTCACATCATGTTGGAGATTTTTATATTATGTCCAAGTAAGAAACTGAAACGAAAACCAATGGAACAGTTACATTTTTATATACTGTATATTCCTGTTGATCCATGTGTGGATTATCCAGTTTGTGATGTATTTATATGCCTATTTACATACACCTGTGACCCTAAGGAGCGTCTGTTAGATTCGCTCAGTATGTCCAGCTCTCTCTCTGTCTGTAAAGTACAAAACAACTCCAGAAGGGAAACCTGATCCTGGAGAATTTTTTGAAAAGCTGCCAAACCATTTCAATTTTCATTCAAACTGGACAACTTTAATAACTACTTTATATGAAGAGTTATACTCATTTATTCATATATGAAAAGCATAACTTTGTAAGTATCAGAACAAAAGATGTTTCAAAAAATAACTTTAGAGACAAATGTGATGTACGTCATGTTCAGTAAACTCTTTCTGTGCGACATGCAGTTTTTGAGAAAATCAGAGTGCATATTATGCGTACATTTATGGATTGCTATATTCAAAATCACCACAGTCTGCTCACACTCAAAGATTAACGTTGATTATACAGCTTTTAAAATTATTCATTCATCTTTCTCACTTCATTAGCATGGATAATAGGGAGCACACTATGTATCAGTTGGAAGAGCATGCAAAAGTATTATGCACTTTCCACTTAGGAAGATACAATACGCTTTCTGGAAGGTCTACACTCAAAAGTATGTGATGGTGTGAGAGATAACATGTACAATATATCACACTGTTTCCTGATATCATTAAGATTGTCCATAAATTATAATGGCAGATTTTTTATTTATAAATCAGTTCATATTGTCACAAATTTAGCACCAATATCCCCCCAAAAAGATGAGCTGAATAAAAGAAATATTTTTTCTTAGAATACTATTGGTGCAAAACATACAAAACTTTTGGTTCTCCAAAAACACATAAGAAAGAGTGGAATGTACACGAATATATTCAGAAATTAGAGCCTATTAATGGAAAAAAGTATTAATTGTTAACTACTATTTTAAAAAGGATTGGAAGAGTGTACTCCAATGGAGTACACATTGTTTTGATTATCATTTGCTATTTTCCATACATACTTTGAAGTTAATTTATTGCAGATACTAACCTATTACGGGAAAGCTATCACACTATAGATGTCACACTGCACAGAGTCAGAAATTATTTTCCTCGTATTTCATCAAATATTCATCATATCAAAAAATGTCTCAAGCAGAAGTTTTAGATCTCAATTAGACACATTTTATGTAATATATCAATTATCTGTATGATTATCCATTTTTTTAGAAAATTCATAAGTTTCATTTTAGCTTATATTGGAGCATGTATTTGAATGATATGAACAAACCCTTTCTGTATTTAAGAAAAATATGTCATCTTTTGCTTGAATGTATCATGGTAGCAGAAGATGGATGGAGAACAGCCAAAGAGATGGCAAGAAAATATGTTTTCATCAAACATATTCAAAATAGATATCTACTGTGTGAGTGAAATACCTCATATACAGCACGGAAATGGTCAAGATCTTAATAAACACCAGTCAAGTTAGAATGCAAAGTACTCCACTTCTGGAAATCAGTATATAATAACATGGCTCACAGCTTATAAGTCACAAATAATTTTAATATACATGTATGTATCTATGTATGTATGTATGCTTCTACATATGAATTGTCCTAGCCTTAAGCTACAGTCAGACTGGCTCCATACATAGCTATTTATAAATTTGTACATGAAATAAAAATAAAAAAAGAAAAACAGAAAACCACACACAATGCAACACAGCAGAAGTGTTCACAATATGTTTGTCTCATTCTGCTGATAACACACAGAAAAGAAAGAAAATCAAATGCCTTTATTAGGCCAAACCAAGCAGCATAGTATTACAAATACACTGTTCAGTGTGAACTAAATCTGAAGTTACTTTTGTGTGTGTTCTCAATTTTTTAATATTATAACCAGATCTGATATGGCTAATAACAAAAACCATACAAATCTGGTAGGCGAAAGATATCCATTACAGGACTTGAAAAGTTCCAAAGAATATTCTCATACATATTGTGACGTGTTGCGCTATGGATGACGCCCCTCCCTCCCCACCAGCCGTGATGTGCCGAGCGGAGCCAAAGTGAGCCAAGTCCCAGCACACTAGTCGCTATGCAACGCGAGTAAACAGTGGTTGCTAGGCAAAGCGGGTAAACAGTGGTTGCAAGAGACGACAGTAATAACAGTGGTACCCATTACCTAGCCTATTACGTGGCTGTTTTCTGTCTTGTCCGGAACGAGGCTAAATAAGGAGCAGCGAAAACTATTCACAGTAAGTTCTCAAGGCAGCAGCCTACGAGTTACAGTTCTCGAGTTCTCTAGTTACGAGTCAGTCACCAGTTAATTGCAGTACAGTATTTGTGATACTGCCGATGGCAGTAATGTTGAGCTTGTAAATTGCGTGATTGTAAGAGCGAGTGGAATAAATTCGCTATATCCAGTATGGCGTGAAGTTATTTGTCGCGTTATACACCCCAACACGTGACAATATTAAAAGAAATGTACCATGATGTTTTTATGAAAAGTACAAATTCACCTTCTTATTATCCATTATAATAAAATTCTTTTAGCCTGTATTTTTAATAGAATTACCAAACAGAATTTTTATATAATAAACAGTTGCTCAGCATCTTCCATCTTCAGCTGTAGTTTGCAAATTTGATGACATAATTCAACTGAAAAATTATTACTTTTGCAGTGAAAATGTGACTCAAATGCCTAATGACCGAGTTCAACAAAATACAGGCTTATGCCACTGTACATGAAGCCAGCATAACCATAGCTTTTCACTGCCAGCAATTCAGTAATAGATATTAATCCCTATTGGAAGCCTCATCACAGATTATTATATTTAAGTAGGATAAAGCTCAGTATTACCATCTGGTCATGTTTAAAAAATGCATTGAAACTAAGTAACAAAAAACAAACAAACATAATTATATCCAGTCACAGACAATGTTTAAATTCAAACAGACAATAATATGTAACCTTACAACTTTTTTATTACAACCATCACAACACAACTACAGTAAAACTTGGTTATAGCAACATCGGTTTCTGCGACACCTTGTCTATTGCGTCAAATATTCAATGGTACGAACTAATTCCTCATAAAGCAACTGTTTTTATACCTTGCTTAGTACGACATGTACAAATGCATCAACCTCGTATGTAACGTCATTTTCATTCCTGAATCTCTGATATCGTATCGTG